TGGAATGCAAAACAGTATGAACCAGATCGTAGCAACAATGGACACCTTCGCTAGAATCCCAACCCAATCACACAAATTGGATGGGGAATACAACCAGTGATATCTCTTCAGCCAAGAAAACAGTTCAAGCAATGACACAAACACCACAACACTAAACTTAATCACAGATGAACAACTCAACAACACCTTTCCATGGTCAGACTCAGAAATATCACAAGAAGATACAGCAACAATAACACAGAAAGAAAACCAACCAAATACACATCAAACTACACAAAACACAAGAAACCAAATGACAGCAACAGTAACATTAGAGAACACCAGCAACAACACAACAGACTCACCTGAACAACCACCAACCAGCACACATTACAAGTGGCACATAGTAACACACAATACAAGATAATTCAACAACCCCTAAAAAAAGTGCTATGGCAAAAATACTGTACAAACAACAAGGTGGACATAGTGGTAATCACAGAAACACAAATTACAAATGACTCCAGCAAGCATTGGAAGGTTCCAGGCTATCAAAGCTTTGCAACAAGAGAGCAGGAATTATTATTATGCTCAAAACAGAAATTGCACAACACATAGGTGGAGTAGACAAATTTCCAGGAAGAGGCATCTGTATAGATCTATACTACAAAAACAATAACAAAGTCAGTATCATTGGAATATATGTTCCAGTATCTCTTAACTACAACCACAAACAATTCTTAAGTTGGACAAACCAAAAAATCTGGGAAAAAAACAACAAAGACTTCCTCACCATTATACTGGGAGACTTCAATGGATTAGCAAATCCAAAACTTGACAAACTCCATCACTCAAAAGCCAACTGCAAAACACGACCCACAAACTCAATCCTTCACACACTCACACAACTGGGCCACATAGACACATACAGATTTCATCATCCATCCAAAAAAGAATACACATGGCAAAATAACAACAGAGCTGCAACATGAATTGATTACATTTGGCTGTCTCCAAATCCAAACTGGTTCACACTGGAGGCACATATTATACCATCAGAGTTTATTTCCAATAGTGACCACAATATCACTACATGCACAATACACACACCCATAGGAGATGATCAAATAATACCACACAACACATCTCTCATAACAAATACATTCAATACTAAAGTGACAAAGGCAAAGCAATGGAAGCTATTTCAAGAGAACCTGGACAAGGAAATAGAATGACAAGAAGAATTACATAACACCACCCATATGTCAGTAGAAAGACTCTGGAATTTCACTTGGAATAGTATCTGAGAAAGAAAATTCAAAAAAAACCCCCACATGCAAACAGAAAAAAAACTACTCCCAATCACACAATCTCAACTGAAATATCAGCTCAGTTTATAACCTTGGGAAACTTGTATATCTAGCCAAAACATATATCAAAAGAAAAATAAAATCGAATACAATAGTGAACAAAATCAACAAAATGACAAAACTCCTACAAAAACAAAACACACCCATAACAAACTTCCCTCTCCAGAAAAGTATCAATCAAAAAACAAGATGGCTGGAAGAAGTAAAAGACCTCTGGCAAGCAACAAAGAAAACAACCAACCAAGAACTACAAAACAACATCAACACTCAAATTAAAGAAGCCACCCAAAAAAGAATGGATCAATATTTGGAATCCAAAAAGAAAATGATCAACAGCATACTATCATGAGAACATAAAACAATTGAAATGAATACAATCATCATTAAAAATCCAGAAACAACCATTATCACAGAACCAAAAGAAATCAAAAAACTGGCAAAAAAGCACTTCAGTCATCAACCAGTACATCAAAACATGTCACAAATCCCCACAGAATGGCAAAAAGAATATAAGCCAAGGGACAACATACAAGAAGGCTGGTACACAGCAGTATTACAAAAAATACAACCATCAGAGATCAGAAAAACCATTGCCAAAACAAGCAAAAACTTGGCTCCAGGCCCATCAGCAATAAACTATGACATACTCAAACATTTGGGAGACAAAACTATACAAAGAATAACACATGTCTTCAACAAAATCCTGGATACAACCTCAATTCCAACACAGTGGCAACACAACCTGGTATATTCAATCCCCAAGAAAACAGACTGGCAACATGACCTCAATCACACCCACCCGATCATCCTAATGGAAACAATCAAAAAGATCTTTACAAAAATCATCAATAATAGGCTTGCAAAAATATTAACTCAACACCCAATCCTCTTGCCCCTCAACTGGGCAGGCCTGCCAGGAGGTGGCACAAATGAACCCATCTCAATAATAAATTATATTCTGGAAGATGCA